CACATCAGATGTATCATTGTATTGGGAACCATGATTTTTCAACACGATGATACATCTGATGTGTGGTTGTCCCACCGGAACATCAATAACACGAATTGTCCAATATGTAGCCCGGATTCGAATCCCAGTGAAGAAATGCCTGGGGTCTATCGAGGAGGCGGGTTCACACACATGTAAATTGATTCCACGCTCTCCACGAATTTAAGACAGTTATCTTTCACAAGTGAAACATTGTTGAAATTTAGATAATCCGGAAATGAATTCGAAGAGTAACTGAGCGTTGTGTTTCAAAGATCGGTGGGCTATTTAATGTAGAATATTTTCATCATTTTTACGAAGTGGGAATAATCAATAATAAAATAGCGTTTTGTTGCCCCAGGGGCACATTTTCGAGGGTTAATCAGCTTGGTCAGGTCGTAATAAAAGTTCGTTTGGTTTCTCTTTATATCAGTGTTTTTTGTCCACAACATACCGAATTCAATCGATATGGGCGGTTTGGTTGTTGATGGTGTGTAGAAAACAGAGTGGAGTTAAAAGCACCCATTGCACTTTGTTTCGGAAATACGGCTGAGTAGAAAATTCAACTGTGGTTTGTTCACACTTCGGTGCGATGAAACTGCGTCAAATGGCAAGGCATTGATCACAACATGCTGTAGGAAAGTTGTCTGCTCTTTGGTTTAACCTTTCACTAGTGGTGGAAAACACGTAGTAGATGTAGCAGTTGATTGTCTAGCGTAGAAAGTAAACGTAAGTAATTGATTCTATGTGTTGTGCCATCAAAGAAATATGAACCCAGAAGCATCATGCTGTTCATTCTTAACCAAACGATAATTTGACCATCATTACTGTTGTTGGACCTGATAAGCGTGATTTCTTCTGATTATCCTAACGTGAAGATAGAAAATGGATTCATCAGAATAAATATCATCTTCAGTCAACAATGATTGTCTTATCGACGTGCGCTTAAACAATGTTGCCTATTCCACGAACTCCGATCAATCCGGATACTCCATCACTATCCCATGAAAAAAGCGGTATTGATTGAAAGAAAGGCGAGACAGCACGGTTTGCATGAATGAATGACTGTAATAAAGTTATTGTGCTCCCCCGCGTAGCAAAAGCTGCCGTTTTGAAGCCATGCTTCTTTCTAATCCCTCCGTGGTAACTCGCTTTTTTCTGTTGTTGTTGTTCTTCTCTGATCCGATCCAGTTTGAAGAAAATGCCATTTGAATGCTATGAAAATGTTTGTGATAACCAACAAAGAGCACTGGACAGCTGTTTCGTCCTGTTTGGGACTCGTCAGCAGTGCGTACGTTTTCTGTCCCTGTCAGAACTCGAAGGGCCTATAAATAGTGGGGAACCCACATCGAACATCATCAACAGTGCCTGTTGCCCCAGTGAAAATCCGAATGGGCTGATCCAAACATTCACCATCTAAAAATATCATATGCTTTTATAAATTTGAATTGATCAGCTTTTTATTGTTGATTGAAACGACTGATCTCTTCGAGTGTTTTTCGAAAACTCAGATAGAACGCCCTATGTCATCGCCTTCTAAGTTTATCTCACGAAACTGAGAGTTGCGACTTGCTTTTCAAGACCAGATGCTCGCACAATTCAAGGGCCGGGAGTGGGTTGTGACTTGTGATCATGTTTCGCCAGTTGATCCCCTGTAATCGGCTCAAAGTGCAAAGGAATCACAGCTGAATTGCCCTTGGATCAGTATTTCCAAATCGCAGTGTTTTATGAGGTCCGACTACCATAACATTAGCCTGATGAGATAACCGGACAAGGTCAGTTGAGCAATAATCACATACGCACACTAACGCGAAATTTGACCAAAACTGGTTTCGATGACTGAGAACTGCGTTACTCATGCCATCGATGTGAATTATTTCTCTCTCTCTCTCCCTTTAATTGGACCGCTGTTGAGGTAAATTATGGTTGGACTAATATCCATACCTTGAGTGTTTGTGTACATTGGTAAGTGAACCAATCTGGAATTTCGGAATCGACCTGGATCAAGGAATGGAAGTATTAGGTGAATTGGCTGATTTTTTTTTAAAAAAAGAGTGATGCTTATGTGTACTTGATCACTTGTCGTTCACTTCTTGTTTATCTCCGTTTCTAACTTGACAACACTTCTCATTCATTTAATTATTACCAGCCTTTTTGATAATCTGCCCAATGGGTCACCGAAATCCAATTTGAGTGTAAACATTCATAATCGATAATCCTGTATTTTTGTCTGGCCGTCTCTGTGACTATTTTTTAACTGTCTATTTCGGTGAACAGTGAACAGTGACATAAGAGGCCAAAAGCTGATAACAGTATCCCAATAAGGTCACAGCATGAATTTGGCCTAACAGAAACGCCGCTATTTGAAAGACAGCCAAATCGCTGTATTACTAACCCTTAATTATACTGGTCCAAAGGTTACCAACTGAGAAACCTAACCCCACCCACGTCGAAATAAGGAAGTGCGTAACTGAGTTCTTCCATTTCCTCATAATTGGTCATATTGAGGGTCAATCATTCTTTTCCTTAAATTCAATCCCAGTCGGAAAGATACATGACAATTAAATGTACCATTAAAAGTTGAAATTACATAGTAACTATCTCAGTTTTAAGTGGGGTGCACTACAATCGAGACTGAAACTTGACGCTTCCGCGTTTCCGGCACTGATTGGTGATTTGTCAAGCTCAGCTGAGTGAATTTCCTCTGTAAGTCTGTCGATGGGTGGTTGACACCTGCGTGTCCGGTATCGCTGGTTAACAGTAGTCTTACTGTCATTTTTTCTAGTTTTAATAGTGCTAAGAGGTGAAACGTTTTCAAAAGCGGAAACAAAACGCTATCAGTCAGCTAGTTGCGTATCAGCATTTACTGCAGGGATACGATCAATGAAAAGGTGACTCATAGTTGCCTAAAGTAACTAGAATTTTCGCAAATTGGTTCAAGCGGTTTGATCGGAAGAATAAAGCGTTTGTTCACTAACCCGACCCACATCGGACGGAATAATCGGTGCTGACGCAACTAAACTAAAGCATCTAATAACCAATCCAGCGGTAAATGCGCAGCGTTATTACGCGAAATCCGTATGCTGATGTACAGGGTGATAAAACAGGTGGTTTCTTAGAGTCGACATCAATTACGGCGACCGAACGCTAAATGTGCTTTCCTCATCCACTGAAAGGAGTAATATTTTGTGATGAGAAAGTTTTCAATTCAAACGGATCGGATAATTTGAATAACTATGAACGATTTGGCAAAAGAATGAATGGTATTCAATATGCGGCATACCAGCATAACAACCGGCTTTAGCTTGAGAGGTACATCGATTGTTCTGCTGGTTCCAGTCAGACAGCAATCCTGTTCATCACAACTTCAACGAGGTCACTTCACAAGCATTGATAATAAAATATTTG